GGCATAACCATTCAACTTGAAAGACACTGTCTTCGGCCTAGCCATTCAACTTAGATGGTTATGCCGTTGAATATCTTCGGCACAACCATTCAACTTGGAAGACAGTTGACTGCCGGTCTGATGATTATCCGAAACAGTTAACTGTCTTCGGCATAACCATTCAACTTAGATGGTTATGCCGTTGAATATCTTCGGCATAACCATTCAACTTGGAAGACAGTTGACTGTCTTCCATATAACCATTCAACTTGGATAGTTATGCCGTTGAATATCTTCGGCATAACCATTCAACTTGGAAGACAGTTGACTGTCTGATGGTTATACCGAAACATTCGACTGTCTTCGGCATAACCAGTCAACTTAGATGGTTATGCCGTTGAATATCTTCAGCATAAGCATTCAACTTGGAAGACACTTGATTGTCTGATGGTTATACCGAAACAGTTGACTGTCTTCGGCATAACCATTCAACTTAGATGGTTATGCCGTTGAATATCTTCGGCATAACCATTGAACTTGGAAGACATTTGACCGTCTTCCATATAACCATTCAACTTGGATAGTTATGCCGTTGAATATCTTCGGCATAACCATTCAACTTGGAAGACAGTTGACTGTCTGATGGTTATACCGAAACATTTGACTGTCTTCGGCATAACCAGTCAACTTAGATGGGTATGCCGTTGAATATCTTCAGCATAACCATTCAACTTGGAATACAGTTGACTGTCTTCCATATAACCATTCGCCTTGGATAGTTATGCCGTCGAATATCTTCGGCATAACCATTCAACTTGGATGGTTATGCGTTGAATGTCTTTAACTTTCATAGTTATGCCGTTGACTATCTTCGGCATAATTATTCAACTTGGAAGACAGTTGACTGTGCGATGGTTATGCCGAAGACAGCTGACTGCCTTCGGCATAACCATTTTACTTGGATGGTTATGCCGTTGAATGTCTTCGGCAACAACAACTCAACGTGGAAGACATTTGACTGCCTGATGGTTATCTTCGGCATAACCATTCAACTTGGATGTTGATGCCATTGAAATTCTTCGGCATACGACAGGGCTGTAGCAACCGTGGAAGATGGGGGAGCTGCAGCCCCCCCCCCCCCAATAATTTGCTAATAATCATTCTTTTTTCAAAATCATGCAGATATTTATCGTTTAATCCGTGACAAACTGCAAGAAATGAAGATATTACCCATACTTTCCTGCAACTCATTCAATATATAGTTAATTCAATACGCCTTCGATCGCCCATTTAGTACTATTAAATTGTAAATTTCAACATACTAAAACGCTGTTTTCTGACTATCAGAATTCTGTCAAAACTTCCCCAAGGTCCAGAAAATGGCATTTCAGAGATTCTAAATTTAAAAATTTCCTCGAGCCTTCGGCCCTCGCTTTCAGCCCCCTCCCCCCAATCGAAAAGAGCTTCCTACGGCCCTGACATACACATTCAACTTGAATGGATAGGCCGTTGAATGTCTTAAACGTGGATAGTTATGCCGTTGAATGTCTTCGGCATTCAACTTGGGAGACAGTTGACTGTTTGATGCAGTGTCTTTTTTAACTATATATCTGGGGGGGGGGGGCAATTCCAGGGAAAGAATTTGCCCCCCCCCCAGTAAAGCCATTTCTGCCCCGAAGTGCGAAGCAGAATTGCTCATGATTGCTGTCAGAATTGCAGTTGATTTACTTGATAATGAGATTATGCCCTTCCATAGCCTCCTCCCCAGCCATCTTGTGTGTAATTCATATTGTTCTTCACCGAGTATTTCATAATAGCGATAGATTTCATGCAAACAATCCGATAAAATGCTAGCCTTTCCAAGCCTTGCGACTATTTCCTAGCACTCTCCTCTGCAGAGGCGTTGTGTTTTGTTTTGGGAGTTTTATTGCAAAATTTTTTTCTTAAAAATATCAAGTTATATAAAGAGCCCCCCTCCCCTCCCCCAGTCGCCACAAAAACCATTCTCTCAGAAAGGCTAAATCCGTAGAGAAATTGGGGAGGGGGGGGGGGTACACGTTACATGCTCGAAGCTGAAACTGATTAAGTACGTCTCGACTGAGGAAAAAGACGATATACTGGAGGAACTTGATTTGTGAAATCTCGTTAAAGCAGTTGTAGATATGATTCCAAGAACAACAGATTTAGTTTAGATTTTTAACTGTTAAATACATGTATGCATCATCATAGCATGAATATTTCTTCAGTAACTTTTGTTTAATTTGAGTTGGAATAAAAAATCAGCTACTGTCGTCGATGGAGGCTTGATTATTTAGCATTATTAATTTCGCATTGATTCTTCGCCTGCATTTTTTACGTTTTCTAATTTTGTGGGCGATAGACCGTGGCTGATTGGGCCCCTAACTGCCGGGGGCCCTTAGTTTTTGAACTAACTCTAACCCATAGGCGTCAAAAGATCGATAAGTGGGGGGGGGGCATATTCATATATTCGTGTTCACAGACCGAAAAAACAATTGATATCAAAAGAAATTAATAATGCAGAACACGAATATATGAATATGGTTCCCCCAATTATCGATCTTTTGACGCCTATGTCCTAACCAATGAGCGCTACGCCACTGAGTTGTCTGTCTTTGGGATAACCATTCATGCAACTTGCCGTTGACTGCCTTCGACATAACCGTTCAACTTGGATAGTTATGCCATTGAATGTCGTCGGCTTAACCATTCGACTTGGATGATTATGCCGTTGAATGTCTTGGGCCTAACCATTCGACTTGGGAGACAGTTGACTGTCTGATGGTTATTCCGAAGACAGTTGACTGTCTACGGCATAATAACCATCAACTTGGATGGTTGTACCGTTGACTCTCTCAGTTCGGCATAAACATTAAACTTGGATATTTATGCTGTTGAATGCCTTGACTGTCTGATGGTTATGGCGAAGACAGTTGACTGTACTCTTCGGCATAAACATGGAACTTGGGTGGTTATGCCGTTGAATGTCTTCAACTTGGATAGTTATGTCGTTGAATGTCTTCGGCGTAACAATTCAACTTGGATGGTTATGCATTCGAATATTATCAGCATAATCATTCAACTTGGATGGTAATGCCTTTGAATGTTATCAGCCAAACCATTGAAGTTGGATGGCAATGCCTTTGAATGTCATCAGCATAACCCGTTCAACTTGGGTGGTAATGCCTTTGAATGTCATCAGCATAACCATCCAACTTGGATGATAATGCCTTTGAATGTCATCAGCATAACCATCCAACTTGGATGATAATGCCTTTGAATATCATCAGTATATATAACCATTCAACTTGGATGGCAATGCCTTTGAATGTCATCAGCATAACCCAGTGGCGTAGCCAGCTTAGACATGATTCATATATTCGTATTCACAGACCTTAAAAACAATCAATTTCAAATGAAATTAATAATGCAGAACACGAATATATGAATATGTCTACCCCCCCAATTACCGAGCTGGATACGCCACTGGCATAACCATTCAACTTGGATGGCAATGGCTTTGAATGTCATTGCCATTACCATTCAATTTGGGTAATGCCTTTGAATATCATCAGCATAACCATTCAAACTAATTCAAAAAGTTAGTCATAACCATTGTTCAACTTAATCGTATTAAACCATGGTTCACTTTTATCGAAGATAGTAAGCGCGGGGTCCCCAAAGCGCGGGGCTCGTGGCGTATGCCACTTCTGCGATATGGTTAATCCAACACTGGAGGGATCTGAACAGTCGCCTAGGCCAGGTTTTCACTTGTTTCCATCTTCCAAACTGACGTTACGTCATTTGATCAATTTCTAAAATTGTTTCTTTTTGGATTTTAAAATTAATCTGGTTAGGGTTAGGGTTAGGGTTAGGGTTAGGGTTAGGGTTAGGGCTGTGGTTAGGGTTAAGGGTTAGAATTGGAGTAGGGAACAGAATAAATATCAGTAACAGAAGGGCCACTCAAGCTGACTCAGCGGTGCAACGCGTCCTCGTTTTTTTTGTGCAAAAATATGCAGTTTACTGACCAGAAGGCGGAGTAGCCACAGCCAGCCAGTACAACGTGTTTTTTTAGCTAGAAAATGTCATTGACTGGCCAGGAAAATGGCGGCCAACATGGGTAATGCGACATGCGCGAGGACAGAAATTTCAAAGCTTCCGACGTATTAAAGTACGTTGCCCTTCTCTATGGATTTTATTCTGTGGGTAGGGTTTGGCTTAATTTAAGCCTAGTAGTCTCATTCATCGCAAACCGTCGGCGATGGGAGCTTTGCGACGGCTCGGCGACCGCTTGCGATTTATGAGAACACATCAAAAATTATATCGCCGATTGTCCGTGATCGTCGCCGACCATTAGCGATGACATCGCAGGAAACAAAAAGGTTTGTTTCTTGTGACCATCGCTAGCCTGCGTGGCAGGCTCAAGGAATAAAGAGAGCCTGCAACAATCTCAAGGAAATTTGGTATTTCGGGGCCGTGAGCGGACTCAAAAATCCTATTGGTTGAAATCATAATGTATGCCAAAATACGCATCAGTCATTGTGGCGCAATGTTTATACGCTATCAATCAATAAAAGCGTATACTAGCGTAAAATTTTGAAAGGGTGCTGTGAATTTCGGTTTTAAACTAAAAACTGAACAGCTGGAAATCGTTGATATGTTTTGGCATGTTTTCTCATTGGATATCTGCCTTGACAAGTCGAAGAGCATGGATACAAACCCATGCACGTGTTGATATTTCTCTAAATAATACAGTAGCTATACCCGAGAGGCTATACCCGATCAATTTGAAAATACTGATTTTGACAAATTATATATCCTATTAAATACATGTTGCTTTTAATATGTATTTATGAAACTTACTACTCGATCTACTGACAAACGTTGCTTTTATCGGTTTTTATGAGTTTTACATGTACAGCAGACTACAAACTACAGTGCAATTTAGCTTGTATTGTGATATATTTTTATAGTTTACAGTGAAAATACAAAAAGTGTCCCACTTCCAACTAAAACAGACCACATGGGGGTTATTTTACCAGCAGGAACGAAACTAAAACCTATGCGCCGAAAGGTTGAATTTCGGGATTGTAGAAAGCATCGAAAGGAAGATTTCCACAAAGCTTTAGCAGAAGAAGATTGGGAGGATGTATCGCAGTCCACGAATGTAAATGACGCTGTGAATTGTCTTGAACGTAAGATCATGCATCATATGAATGAATGTATGCCCACAAAAACAGTCTCATTTTGTCACGTGACCCTTACTGGATGAGTCCTTTAATTAAATCTTTGCTAAAATCTAAATCCAGAATTGCTCGGTCGCAAAAGGATAGACTCAGTTTAATTAACAAAAGGATTTCTGATGTCATTTGTCAAAACAGAAGAAATTTCAGGGCCTTGGTGGGAAGTAGAACATGGTGGAGAAAGACGAATGATATTTCTCAGCGAAATGCATCGTCATCAAGAGTTACTTTAGATAATGCATCACTTACAAGATTAAATCGCTACTTTGGCGAACTCTGCCACGATGATAGTTATGTCGAACCGACGCTCTCAATTATTGGTGATGAAGTAGATATTCCTAGCTTTACGGAACAGCAGGTATGGAATGCCTTGAAAAGAATAAAGAGGGCAGCAACAGGTCCCGATTATATTCCCTATTGGGTTTGGAATGATCATGCGGAAATTCTAACCGAAGTTATAACTAACGTCTGGAATTTGTCCCTTTCATCACATACTTGGCCAGATTCATGGAAAAGAGCGAATATTAACCCTCTTACAAAGGTTGATTTACCAAAGGAAGATGGTGACTTTCGTGGAATAAATATTACACCTGTAATTGCGAGGACCTTCGAAAAGCTCGTTTATAATAGTCAGGTCAAGTCGACAGTTGAGGAAATTTTATCCCCAACGCAATTTGCGTACAGGCAGGGGGGGGAGTTGTACAAACGCTCTGTTAACTATTCAGAACAAAGTACTCAGCTTCTTAGATAGAGCGGACTGCAAAGCAGTTAGACTGTTTTCTATGGATTTTAGCAAGGCTTTCGACTCAGTGAAACATTCACTCCTCTCGGAAAAGTTAAAAACTGTGCCACTCAACCCTTATATCATAAATTGGTATTTAAATTTTCTAAAGAATAGAAAGCAAAGAGTCGTTTGTAACGATTTTTGTGGAGAATGGATGGATGCTAATAAGGGTACAACACAGGGGAGCGTAAGTGGCCCCTACCTTTTTAATATTTTCCTAAATGATTTAGAGGTGGACATAGACGGCGAGAACGCTCTTTTTAAATATGCGGATGATTCAAATATAATAGTGCCAGTTTGGAGTGACGGTCCTGATACATCAACAGATACAGTTGGACAATTCCTGAGCTGGTCTGACGATAATTTTATGACTTGTAACCCTGGTAAATGTAAAGAGCTTATCATCCGGAAGAAGGGATATAATGATCAACTCGACAATGTTTATAATATACCCCAATGCAAAGAACTTCCCATTTTAGGTACTATTTTTCAAGACAATCTCAAGTTCACCAGTCATGTGCGAGGTAAATTGGTCAAAGCAAACAAATGCTTGTACGTTATACGAACACTCAGGGCAGAAGGCTATAGCCAATGTGAGATAGATTATCTATTTAAGACCCTAGTAATATCTACTATAACGTTTGGCCTGTCCGTCTACGGTTCTTCTCCAGCTCGAACTCATATACTCTACAACGGTTTTTTGACAGATGTTTTAAGCGAAAGTATATATCAGAACCTGTAAATATTAGATATCTTTTAGAAATACAGGACAGAAATATTTTTAAAGCTTCTGTAAATCAGAAGAGTGCCATAGTCGACTTGATACCAAGAAAAAAATCCACAAGCTACTCTTTGAGGACAGAGTTTAGTCAGTATCCAAGAGTGAACACGGAACGTTTTAAATTGTCGTTTGCAAATAGATTAATTTTTAACTATAACCTATTCATATGATGTAAACTTTACTAATGTATTCTTAATATATACTTGTAACATAAGATATGTATTTTTATCTTTTGATCTATTAAAAAGACTTTTGAATTGAATTGAAAAGACTTTTTGAACTTCCGCTTCTGTAGTTTGTTGTGATTTACTGTAATTTGTTCTGTTTTTCTGGCTAGGAAGATGGCGGCCAGGGGGCCCTTCTGTGTACCTTATTCTGTGCTAATGTATCGAAATGTACCAAACCGACATCGCCGGTGTAAACTCTGTTTTATTTACTCCAAAAGTAATTTAAACTGCCAATTTTTTAAAAGTGTTTGAATTATCGAGCCACTCTATATGTGTAGAAAACGGTGATTATTTTCGCTTTATTCGTCGTAAAAGGGTTTAAAAACACGCTCGAAAAACTACATATTTTTTCTTTTTATTTATGTTCCAAAAAAAATATCTCGTCCCCCAAAACAAGAAAAACCGGTTTTTTCTAATTATGTAAAATTACTGTAACGTAAACAAGTCTGCGATCACGTGAATGTCACGATTGTTACACTCCCCCAAGTTTATTAACTCTAGTAATAAACTTTAACAAAACAACAAGCAATGTACAGTTTATGTGTCCCTTTCTCTTCGAGCAATCTCTCCAATAATTGCAGCATTACGTTTGGGTCTTAATTCATTGTCAGTGACAACGGGCGATGAAGGATTAACAACAGGATGTTGTTGTGTTTCTTGGTCGTTATTAGCCTTCACCTCGATTGGGATAAGATGTTGCACAACTCTTCGGAGGTAAATTGGTCGTTTATCACTGTTCGCAACCTTAACTATTGCTGCGCGAACCTTTCCATCTGAACCCGGAAGCAGTTCCACTACTTTAGCCAGTTTCCACATACATCTGGCAGTCGATTCTTTCTTCAATAACACAATATCTCCAATTGATATTTCACGAGTATTGTTTTTCTGTTTCAGTGTTGATTGTTCCCTTAGACTCGTCAGGTACTCTCTCTTCCACTGTTCTGTCAGTTGTATTAATACATTTCGCTGATGGCGAGCTCTTCTCGTCAGAGATCTATAAGTACTGATGATTTCGTGATGGGCGCTGTTCGGCGTTGAACTAATACGTCTACCATATATCAGATTTGAAGGCGTTAAAGGATACGATATTGAATCGACATCATCGTAAACGTAGGTAATAGGTCTTGAATTGATCAACGTCTCTATTTCGACTAAAATCGTGCGGAGTTCTTCAAAACTTAATGTCGAACGTCCTAATATCTTCTTGAGAGGTCGCTTGACACTTCGAACCAACCTCTCCCAAAACCCGCCCGACCAAGGGGCTCTCTCAACAATAAAATTCCAAGAGATACGATTATTGTGAAGGTAACGTTTCACGTCTTCGGATCTAACGATTTTGAGCAATTCCTTGGATGCCGACTTGAAAGTCTTTGCGTTATCTGAGGTTAGAGTGGCAGGAAGTCTCCGTCGACTAGAGAATCTTCTAAAAGCTAACAGGAAATCCGGGACGTTTAAAGTTCGACAAAGTTCAAGATGTAGAGCTCTTGTTGATGAACATGTAAACAGACAAACATATGATTTCTTTGACGAATGGTTGGTAACGGTTTCAGTCCCTTTCGAATCGAAATAAATTGGACCAGCGAAATCGAGTCCTACGTGCGTGAAAGGTGGGTCATCTGAGACTCTTGTGTTTGGTAAATCAGTTGGTTGTTGTGGTCCGTAAGAACTTCCTTCCTGTTTGAGACAAGTAACGCACTTTCGAATAACTTTCTTAACCGATTCACGTCCACGAATCACCCAGAAACGTTCCCTTAATGCAGTGAGGGTATCTCGTATACCGTTGTGCAGTACAGTATGCTTGTGAGTGTGTTCGATGAGCAGTTCAACAAAATGGTGTCTGGAAGTAAGTAAAATCGGATGTAAGTAAGTAAAATCGGATGTATACAGTTCGATGACAAGGTGCTATTGTCAATTCTTCCGCCACAACGAACGATTCCCTGTTGATCTACATATAACCCAAATTGCGTGACATATTTCGGCGATGACAGACATTCTTCCTTCGTTTTCTTACGCGCAAGATATCGAATCTCGTTTTCGAACGGTTTAGCTTGTACTGATTTGATCCACGCAATTTCCGCGTCGTTAATTTCCGAGGCAGTCAATTCTCTCTGAACCGAATCACAATTCTCTTTCGATTTTACACGATTCTTGACCTTGGAAATAAATTTCATCACCAGTGCCGTAACACGAAGTAATTTTGTTAATGTGCTGTAACGAGTGCTGTCCATTATCATCTCCACGTTTGCAACAGGGTAGTCAGACGAAGTATTGGCCATCGAGTGAGTGATTTCTGGTGCATTCTTTTTTTTGCTTCTTGTAGAACCTGTTCGTTCTCTTCTTGTATGGGTCGAGGTTTAGGCCATTCAGCCTCTGGTCGGAGTAAAAACGATGGACCATTCCACCACATCGAATTGTCAGAAAGTTTCTTTGCATTCAGGCCACGAGACGGTATATCGGCGGGATTAAGTTCACCTGGACAATGTCTCCACGAATCTTTGAGGGTCAAACTTCGGATCTCGTCAACGCGATGTTGTACATACTGTTTCCATATTCTTTCGTTTTGTATCCAACAGAGGGCAGTTGTGGAATCAGTCCAATTGATTGTTTCTAATTGTTTGATCGGTTTAATTGTTGAAGTAAACTTGTTCACAAGTCTTGCAAGAAGAACAGTCCCTAGCAATTCCAGTCGTGGAATTGTTTGCTTCTTTATCGGTGCTACTCTAGACTTTGAGGCTACTAGGCGTACTAAAATGCAACCATCTTCGTAAACAGAACGTAAGTACAAAACAGCAGCATACGCACGTTCTGAGGCGTCGCTGAAACCATGAAATTGTATGCCTATAGGAGTCGATTGAAAATAGCAACGAGGAATACGTATGTCCGTAAGGAATTTCAACTCATCCAGAATTGATTTCCACTTTTGTAATAGATTTCCTTCTAGTTTATCGTTCCAATTAGTCTTAATCAAACAAAGTTGTTGAAATAAGATCTTCATTTCAACCGTGAAAGGCGTTAAGAACCCAATGGGATCAAAGATCTTTGCGGTAAGGCTAAGGACTGAACGTTTCGTTTCAGGTCGGGCATGACCATATTCTGCTAACTCGCTTAAGTCAAAGAAAATTTCGTCCGAAGTTGTGTCCCAGTTTAATCCTAAAACCTTAACAGTCGAGTCATTCTCTTCTTTGAAATTCCCAATCGTAGTTTGCGACTTCGCATATGACTCGTCATCTTCAGTTGTATTAACAATCGGTGCTGATTTGGAATGTTCGTGCAAAGAAGTTTCGTCAGTTTCAATCAACTTCAAGAGATTCGGAGAGTTCGAATGCCATTTACGTAGGTTAAATCCACCTTTCGCCATGATTTCTTTCGATTTCTTGTACACATTGAAGGCTTTCGCGTCGTTCTCCTCCCCCGTTATGAAATCATCCACGTATAAGGAATCTTTCAACATTTCAACAATTTCAGGCTCGCTTTGTTGAAACAAACAAAGATGGTGCTCGATCGTAGCTCCCAGAATTGATGGCGATGGTCTGAGACCAAACACTAGTCGGTTGAAACGATATATAACAGGCTCGGGATTTGAAGCAAATGGATCATCATACCATAAGAAACGAAGCATGTCTCTGTCTTCGGGATTGATGCCTACCATCAGAAATGCCTTTTCAATGTCACCGGTGAGACCAATAGCATTCCATCGAAACTTCGTTAGTTGATCGAACACATGAGGGATGTGATTTTCACCGACTTCTAAACAATCGTTTAACGATCGATCGTCTTTCGAATGTTGGGCTGAACAGTCATACACGACACGAACCTTGGTTGTTTTGCGGTCTTTCCAAATTACAGCATGGTGGGGTGAATAATGAACTCGTTTCAAACTTTGCTCGGTTGCACTTGTTGATTCTTCAACTCTTTCGACAATCCCCTTATGTTCTTGATCCTTAATAATCTCGTGATAGTCATAAAGCAGATTCGGTTCATTCTTTAGTTTGTGGTGTAGCGATCTCAGCCTTGTTTCACACAATCGGTAGTTCGTTGAAGATGGCGAATAATCTTCTTTCCATGGCAGACTGACCTCGTAATGATCCTCTTTAAAAACAGGTTTCACAATTTCACTCGTTATCGCTTCGGATTTCTCTTCGATATCTCTATTATCTTTGATACCAATACTGTCCGTTTCCCGAAATTTTCTTAACACAGTGACAATCTCATCGTTACTTTGATATGGAAGGAATTCCGATGCTCCGGAGATGATTAGGTGAGATGCGGTGTTGTCTACACTAAATAATGAATCGGTTACTGGGCCAGAAAGAACCCAACCAAATTTACTGTTGATGGCAGTTGGACCATAATCTGCTCGAATCGATTCACTCATAATAATGTCCCAATAGTAGTCGGATCCAATGAGCACATCAATTGAATCGTGGTTGTCGTTATCAAAGTCTTCAGCTAGGTCTAAGTCCTGAATGTGTGAGTAATCATCGATGTTTACCGTGGAAGGTAAGGCTGAACATATTACAGGGAAGGTCAATGCAGAAATTTCAATAATTTCAGGATTTCCAGGTTTCTGAAGGCGTAAATTTACCAGATCACAACTTTGATTCTTGCACCGATTCTCTCCGAAGGTGTTGAGTGTGAGTTTCTCACGTTGAACATGTTTCAGTTTTAATTTGGAACGCAAGTCCTCAGTCACATATGATCGTTGACTTCCTGTGTCCAGAAGAATTCGTACTGGAACTGAATGTCTCCCAGTTTCATCCAGAGCTACTGCCCGTGCAGTTTGCAAAAGAACACTATTTCGCTTTCTTCGATTCTCGTAACTCGTTGCAGTTGTAACCTTGGTTTTCACGTCGTCGTCTTGTTTCGATTTCTCTTTAGTTTCGTCGAATCCCTTTGCATGCACTGTGTCACATATCGACTGGTGATGACGTTTACCACAGTGTCTACAATTTTTTTGACTTGAGCATTCCTTCACTTGATGACCCTTTCGAAGGCAATTGTAACATCGTCTGTCCTTTGCAAGAATTTGCTTTCGACTTTCGTAGGATTGTACAACATCACAGGAAGCAGAATAATGTAGATTATTGCAGAAAGCACAACGAATCTTGAAGTCCTCTTGTGTCTTTGTGAAAAGTGCACTAGCTCCGAGTGGTGCCTGGGTTTTGTTATTATTGGAAAACTTACGATTGTCAACTGCACTTGCCCTGGCCCCTTCACTCGATTCTCTCGCTTCGATTTCAGTTTTAACAGCCGAGAAGTTCATCTATTTTCCATATTTCACTACTGTTCTTACGAGCGATTATCTTACGTCACTAGGAAGTTTAGACATAACAATAGGAATTAATAAGCTTCCATATTGCTCAGATTGTACCCCAAGTGAAGCCAAACCTCGCACGTTTACACTGATTTTATCGTATACATATCGTAGTGATGAAAGTCGACCATCTGTGCTCGCTTGAATTTTTAACATTTCGTCAACATGAGCTGAAATAATAATTTGTGGCTTGCCAAAACGTTCCTTTAACAATTCTATAGCTGAGGTGTAGTTTGAACTTGAAAGTGTTAATCCTTGAATGGCCCTTGCAGCCGTACCCTCGAGATGAGCATTTAAAGGGTATTGGCAACAAAAATTGCTTCATCTATCTTATTGCTTCATCTGAAAGAGCATGAAAAAATAAGCCGATTGGCCGTTTAATGCTCTATTCTATCTCATCTAGTTCCGAAGTTATACGCAAAAATGTGAAAATATAAATTGCTGATTCAGCACAACGTGTGACGTCATTAGCTGGGTAAGTATGTTTATTGAATACTACACTGAAGCATAGCTCAGTTATTATGGGCCCAAATCAAATGAAATTTTGCATACTGATTGTACATGATGATACGCATGGAAAAACACTTCTAATTTTGTTGCCAAGGTAACAATGTCGTTTCCAGGCCCCTTGCGCCAATTTTATGAAACAGCTTTATTCAAGGTACTGATAAGAATAAAATAATATCAGAAGTATGTGTATGATACCTATGCATGCCAAAAGTTTACTTGCATGATAATAATTCGAAAATGACATACACATAGATAAATGCAACTAGTTATTCAAAATCAGTGTAAGAGGCCTGGGAACGACTGTGTTGCCTTGACAACGAAATTAGAAGTATGTTCCCATGCATCTCATCATCTACTCAGCTATGCTTTAGTTTACTATTCAATAAACATACTTACCCAGTTTATGACGTTACAGAATGTGCTGAATCAGCAATTTATATTTTGCACATTTTTGCGTATAACTTCGGAACCAGATGAGATAGAATAGAGCAGTAAACGGCCAATCGGCTTATTTTTTCATGCTCTTTCAGATGAAGCAATAAAATTAATAAACTTTTTTGTTGCCAATACCCTTTAAATAGTTAAATTTATCGATTGCGGGTATACTTTCGTTCGAATGAATCGCGCTATTAAATGAATCCCAAAAAGTTGTCCATTTCGTAACATCGCCCTTGAATTTCGGTAAAGTTAACTTTGGCAAACGCGGTTTAACGACATTATCTTGAGCTGAATTCGTTTGAACATAAACGGGAGATTGTTGTACATTGCTAACGACTTGTTTTGAGTCTTTAATTTTCTTTCGACACGCTATAATTCTCGCTACAATCGCTTCTGAATCTTCGATTTCTTTGCTAATTTCGTTTAATTTACACAGAGAAGTAATTGCGTTATCGAGATCGTTTAAAGTCTTTTGTTTACCTTCCAATAAACAGTCAATAACTTCGAGTCTACTTGTCGCTTCGTCGGATAATTCTTGTGATAACAAATCGTATGTTTCCTTTTCGAGTTTCTGGCAAACTTCTCGATGAGCCGCCCTAATCGCTTTAAGTCGGTCGATTTTCGACATATTCTAAATCTCTACTTCGTGAGCTCGTCCCACGTTGGGCGCCATGTAGAAAACGGTGATTATTTTCGCTTTATTCGTCGTAAAAGGGTTTAAAAACACGCTCGAAAAACTACATATTTTTTCTTTTTATTTATGTTCCAAAAAAAATATCTCGTCCCCCAAAACAAGAAAAACCGGTTTTTCTAATTATGTAAAATTACTGTAACGTAAACAAGTCTGCGATCACGTGAATGTCACGATTGTTACAATATGAACTATATACAATAGTAATAAATTAAAGTATATTTATAGTTGTTACTCACACTGCATCACGCACACGGATTTCAGAAAATATGATTGGTTGGATTGGAAATAAATTATCATAGTAATTAGTGGGCGGTTATCAAATTTCCTTGAGATTGTTGCAGGCTCTCTTTATTCCTTGAGCCTGCCACGCAGGCTAGACCATCGCCGATCATAGCCGACTGCCACCTGCTTGAAAAATCTATGGGAAATGAGTAAAAGTTGTTTTTTCCTCAACAAGCAAGGAAATAATCAACTGAAGTTTGGCAGAAATCATGATCGAACTTTACGTTGAACTGGGCCATTTTGTGCCTTGGTGGTAGGGAAGTTTTGTGGGAAAAAAGGGAAAAGGAACTTTTGAGATTGTGAAAAATTGTGAAAGGATTTTTGAAAGCGGTTGTGGAAGCACTTGATCTGATCCAGATCTGATCCACTGAGATCTGATCAGTGGATCTGATCTATGTCATTGATCTGATCTGAAATCGAACACGTGTTAAGGATTCCAAGATGGCGAAGGAAAGCAGTGGTCAACATCAACACAAACCTGGACCTTTAAAACAGCAAAATAAAAGCCACAAACATGGGAGACACAAAACGAAAGGCATGCTAGACACTATAACTAAAGGTAGTTGTTTAATTCTAATATACACGCGAGAATATATTCCACTCAACGGTCAATATATTAATACAGTATGAACGAAGTGACTAAAGTATATCACGGTTTATCAAATACTAAATGGCCGGCACTACAGTCACTATAGTTAAAGTTGTATTTTTATAAGATAAACCAATCCCCAACTTTGCCGAATCCGCCAACAGCAAGCTCGGTAAAAGCTAACGCAAACAAAAGTTTTTATATTTAACTGTAGTCACTAGACTGCCGGTCATTATGTATTTGATAAACCGTGACTGGCTGCTGGTCATATAGTCACTTTGTATATATAATATATGTGAAACCTTTATACGATTATTTCTGCTCTATCGTATATGATGTCGAGCACTCTTTGGCATTTTGTGAACCAAACCACATTCGTATAATATATTATACGCCGTGGATATTCGTCCGACATCCAGGTTGGAATCGACGCAGCACATCCGCCACATATTTTACGTCAAGAAAATATGTATAGATTTTCGTACACCAAGCTAAAGAAATATATAAAATTTGCCGACGTTGTTTGAGATATTGTGCTATATAGCTGAATGAGCATGGTAATAACTATAATACATCGCGTTTTTAATGCACCTATCAATGTTAACCCCGAGGGAGGGGGAGGGGGGGTGGGGATTTTACATTTTTACAAAAAAAAATGTCAAATGCCACTCCCTCGGGAGAACATTCCTGGGCAAAATTCCCCACCCCCGGGATGAAATTGTATTCCTGAAATATTTGGTTTCTGGTGCACTCTATATGTCAGGTGATAGGGAAATTACACAAATACATTTGGCGGTATAATTTAAAAGTATAACAAATATAAAGAACGTTTCAAAATAACTTAAAATACTCATTAATTTAATAATTCATATACCTTGCGGCAAATCATGTCAACCATATTATGTCACGTGAAGTGAGTTTATAATATCTGATAAAACACTAGCCTGTGTTCCAGTCTGCTACACCACGGTTACAATAGACTGGAACACAGGCTAATAAAACACAGTATTCTTATATAATTATATTGTCAGTATTCTTATATAATTGTTCGCCCTAATTAGTATTCTTTTGTAGTCGTATTTTAAGTTGTGCACCTCGCGTTTGATATCTGATAAAACACACTCTTACTCGTGTTTTAAATAGCACATAATGTGAACTTTTAACATATAAGTATAAATCGATATTAATATAATTATAAAATGGCTTATAAGTGTTTATTTCTTGTCCAGAAATCTCCATATTTCTTGTAAAAACAACGCGCGAGACAGCCAATTTCGTTCCCCGAGCCTGCGATCCTTGGGAAGGAAACGAAGGCTCTGGGATAATCCATCTCAGACATACAGAAAACTGTATGTCGACCGAACTGCGCATGCGTTGCCAAAAGCAAAACAAATTGTTTGAAATATTTTATTGTTTCGTCTATAAAATGATGATTTTTTCGGGGTTTTGGTGGAAATGTTGATGTTCTTCATAGTGGGATACAAAAGGTGTGTTAGCGACTGAATAAGGAAAAGATTGCGTGTGAAACAGGGTCTGTATAGAGCCGGCAGGAGCCGCGAAGAGTGCTGTTGTCGAAGAAAAATGTCACAATTAATTGTGTCATCTTGTCCATTGAAAAAGCTTTAAATGTGGAGACATTTGTGGTTCCTCCAGCATAATTTAGCCGTTTAACGCTATTATGTTTCTAATGGTTGAAAGAGCGTGTGGAAAGGGCAATTTTTAAGAACAAAAACAATTACAATGTACTATGTGTTAATTGCTACTGTAGTATTAAAATACCTGAAGAGAGTCTCAATTCTAATATTAAGTTGGTTATAAACCTTGATAATATTAAAGTTTTCAGAAGATTTGTAGGAATATTAAAAGGAATTTAGACTTATAAAACATATTAAAAATATGAATATAGTGAATTCCATGTTTGTATTGTGTTTAATATCATCTCTAGAAATTAACAGTGCATAAACCAAATCCTTGTTATATTTTTTGACTGCCCTGGCTTATAGCTTTCATTATATGTTTTAATATTTGCAAGCAGTTTAGTAGGTTAGGGATGCAACAGCACTTTTCAAATTATTGAATTATAACCAAATTTTGTGTCTGGATAGGAATTACTATATTAATGTTTTACAGTTTGTAATGATAGAGTTGGAGCAAGTTAAGCTGCAATGTGCCTCAGTTTGCCCTACTTTGTTATTTTAAGCTGTTTAATGCCAGAATTATTTGAATGGGTTAACCAGTCCATCTGCTAGCCTGCTATCCATCTGCATGTCTACCTATCTTTGGTTAATTATCTCATTAGATCATTAAGCCACAATGCTCTTTAGTGCACCCTATTTTGTTATTTCACTGCACTTCTGGATAATATTTCTCATCAATGGCCGGAAATGTAGTTGACTTCATGTTGATTACAGCCATTAATTAATTAACTACTGTACTAAATATGACATTCAAGGTTGGAGATATAATAGCAATAGAGGTTGCTATCATTATAGCATTCAGGGGCGTCACTAGCCCAAATTGTCAGGCATTTGGCAATTTATTTTATCGCAATCGGGTAATTGTTTTCATGGCCAGCATGATTTGAATTGGATAGGAAGGGAAAAAACTTAAATTTACGAGTTTTTGTTGCCCCTCCCCTTCTCAGAGTAAGTATGTGTTGTTTTATAGTGTAAATAACAAGTTTTGATATTGCAATCAAACTGACAGGGTAGTTGTCATGACCATGGTAATAAAAATATTTCTATGGCTCAACATTGATATTGGGCAATTTTTTATCATTCATCACAAGGTTATACCTGCACCCTAGGTGGTTCCCTGCAGGGGGTCATAACCAGGGGGAAGCTGATGAAAATGAATTCTAGTATTGGTGGCTGCATGATCACTATCATTTAATATGAATAGAACATTTCTTAAAAAAAGTATATGAATTTATTAAAAATATTTATATGGTCTCCCAATCTGGAATTCATACTTTGTAACATCTGGATCAATGACGTTTTCTTGGACAGAATCCAATTAATACAACCTCGTACAGAGGGCAGGGCTTCTTTGAATTACTGTGTGGACAAGATTAACAAAGGGATTGCCAAATTGGCATATTGTGCTACTTAATAAATTAAAATCATTAAATACTTTATGCTACAATTAATTGTCAGTAATATTATATTGTATATTATTGTATTTCATATGAAATCATAAATGATGGGTGGTCAACTCTAAATCGAGACACATGCAGTCATCAGAGTGAATTAATTTTTCACTGTATGTGTTGGCCTTGTGTTTGGTAGCAAATACATGCAATTTCATATCGTTTGCTCACTCCAGTACAACATAAGCATCAATACATTTTTTAGGTTGACCCCCTGTCAGAACCAATGACAAAATGTGCAAAATGCCATAGTGAAACCCAAGAATTCATTATATTATTGTGCACCCATCAATGTTAAGCCCCAGAGGAGGGGGGTCGGGCATAGGTGGGGGCATTTTATTTTTAGAGCAATTTTCAATCAAATGCCCCACCGTCGGGCAATAAATACTGGTCAAATGGCGCACCATTTTGCAATAAATTGCAATAAATACTATGTTAATAAAAGTCATTCAGTTCAAATTGCCCCAACTCGGGGCCAAAATGCTAATCAAAATCCTCAGGGTGGGGATGCAATTGATGATCAAATACCCCACATATGCCCAACCCCCTCCCCTCTCTGTGGGTTAACATTGATAGGTGCATTAGGTGTATGCAGACTGGAATACAAGTTAATATCACTGCCTGTGAAATTGTGGTTTATTTAGAGGATAAAGGTTTTTTGAACTCTTCTATAAATAAATTATAACAGCAAAAGATTCATATGCACCCATATAGGGAAGGGTTACATGCTACAAGTTAAAGTACAGTATATACATTAAAGAATAAAATATATAACAGTAAATCCCAAGATTGGATTTATTGAAACTAGTTATTAGCTAGTTCTTCGCAATTAAATAACACAAAAACAAATTAATAAAAGTTATTAACCACTTCTGACACAAATAGTATTTGCAAAATATAGCACATATTTGATATTATAGTCAAATAGTACAGTGTACTGACAGTGAGTACTGTATACTATGTATAGATTAAAACTACAGAAAACCTGTACAACACAAATATGAGTAAAGTTTTCACGCTCCATTTAACTGTTGTGATATTAGACGCATTAAGTATACGTTTCTTTGCATTTCCTTTGTAGTATTAGTATATAGCACAGCTCTGAAAAACCAAAACAATATTCGTACACTCCTAAACGGCCGCCATGTTGTATATAAAAATATACGGTTAAAAATTAATTTTTGCAAAATTGCAACATTCCATTGTATACCAGCAACCAATCATATTCATTTCTGACATGGATTATCCCAGAGCCTTCGTTTCCTTCCCAAGGATCGCAGGCTCGGGGAACGAGATTGGCGAGACAGCGAGCGATAAACTAGTGCCCAGTCTTCAGTTTGTTCCTGACTCTTCCACAGTCCCTCGTTACATTTTAGTGCGGGAGAATATGCCCGTTCGCGGGTTAGGTGTTGACAGCTGCAACGCAGGTGACTGGGGACGAGTCAGAGTTTGTTCTAAAATTGGCTCAGGTTTCTTCAGTATATCGTCTGAGGTCAGTGTTAATCTGTCAAAAATCCCCACCCTCGGGCCACTTAGAAAAAAAGTGTCAGTCCAAATCCCGACCCATGGGACCGCCTGATTGATCAAATCCCCTTGCAACCCCCTCCCTCGGGGTTAACATTGATAGGTGCATAATATATAATAATACACCTATCATGGTCTTGCCCGAGGGGGGGGGGGGTTAACCCTGGGACAAGTTAGTGTAAATGTGGGGATATACCACTGAGCTATACTATATTACTGGAGG